TGCCGGGGAGGCGGCGCGGCGGCCCCTGTCAACATGGGCACTGCCCTGTGCTAGTTTTCAGCCTTTTTAGAAGCGTAACACAGGGATGCTGACACTGAAATAAAATAAAACTGACAGCCGTCAAAGCACCTGTACGCATTTCACCAGTTAGCCACCACATCTTTTTTTTATTACTTAAAAAAGTTGAGCCTAGCGGACACATTGTGCGTTCACATCGCTCCGTTAGGTCAATGGATAACATTGCACACATTTCTCTTTCTGACATACAGTGCATTTGATGACAGTAGTACCTAACAATCCAGCAGAAATCAGCCCCGCATTGTGCTTCATGGTGTACAAAAGCATACATCAACCTAAGCTGTGGTCTTCGTGGCAGAAATGTTTCTCAGTTTCATTAACTCAGAAAAAAATTGCAGTACTTTTAAAGCAAGTCTCCAAGTTGGATTCACTCAGTGTGCTTTGGTTTGCATGACAGAGCAGTCTGGGAGCTCACAGACTGGTATCCTGGATAAAACCATGCTGGAGGGTACTTCAGTAGCTCCTTTGTAGGTCCCAGCTGCTAATGCTCGCTCAGGCCACAGGATCAGATCTGGGGGTAGTCCAAAGTAATGCTCCCCAAAACAAGTGTCCCTGGCATAAACTTGTAACTGTTTTGCCATGATTTCCATCTTCTTCAGAATGGTAAAAGCAGCTAACTGCAGAGTTTGTAAATAAACACATGCTACATTTGCTATTCCAGCTCCTTGTCTTGGGCAGGTGTGAATCCAGGCACAACGTACAAAATGTTAACTATACAATGATGGTATATTGAAGCCACACAACTATTGCTGCTGCAATCATATAATCATTTTTTGGAGACTGCAGTGTACACGATAGGGATTATAAAGTATTCTGAAAAGAACAGAAACTCTGAAATGACTTGAATTTGTTTTTACTGCTTCAATCTGATTTAATCAAAGGGGAAGCCTCTGAAAGAAGCTCAGGGTGAAATCCTGTATTCTGCCTCGTTTCTGGAGTGGTTTGCGGAGGAAGCTCGCCGAGTTTATGGTGATGTCATTCCAGCATCTGCAAATGACAGAAGAATCCTGGTGCTGAAGCAGCCAGTAGGAGTGGCAGCCATTATAACCCCAGTAAGCATAGCTGAATTTTTCAAGTCATGTGAAGGTTTTCAGCTTAGCCCACAGCATGGGGCTGTGGCCTTGTGGCTCCTCTTGCCAAAGAAACACCCCTGTAAAGTTTTATTTCTACCTTGTACTCGCATCTGGATTGGCAGAGCTTCTTTGTCATGTTCGCTTAGGACAAAGCACATTGTGCAGGTCTCTTTAGGTTATCATGTAATTACAGAAAACGTCAGCTATTTCTGCAAAAGCAAGAGGCAAAATTTTCACAAGGTTTACTGTACTTTTCTCTCTCATCCTAGTGGAATTTCCCCAGCGCTATGATTACCCGGAAGGTTGGTGCAGCTCTGGCAGCTGGCTGTACAGTGGTAGTGAAACCTGCAGAAGACACACCTTTATCAGCATTAGCTCTTGGGGAGGTGAGCTTTTATGCTAAGCTTTACATTGGCAATGGACTGAAGCTCTAAATGAGGAGTCAGATGGGCTTCAAGGATAACTTTGACCAAATTCATACATAAAGGAAGGACAAGTTGGCTGAATTGATCCAGAGGTTTTAGTTTAGTAAGAGTCTTTGAAAGTTGCCTCTAATATGGTCTAGAGCCTCAAAGAGGACCTGGCCATTTAACTACGCAAAACATCTTTATGTCTTTTCTTTGGTTACTTTGAATGACAGCCAGCTTAAACTGGAGCAAAGCTGCTCTCTTGGCACCATGGCATGCATTACTAGTTGTTGTGCTGTGCAGTTGCGGCTTCCATTGACTTGGACTGGTTTCTTCAAAACAGTAAATAAACATTAAGTGACTATCCCTCATACAAAATGCACTGATCACGCAAATTCTGTGTTTCTTTTGTTGCAGCTTGCAAACCAGGCTGGAATTCCAGCGGGAGTGTATAATGTTGTTCCTTGTTCCAGACAACAGACAGCAGCTGTAGGGGAAGTTCTGTGCACCGATCCATTGGTAGCCAAAATATCTTTTACTGGCTCTACAGCAACAGGAAAGGTACATAAGTTCACAGAATATCCTTGAAGATTATTACTATGGTTATACTGGAAAAGTATGGGGAAACTGTGGGCCTTTATACAGAGCTGCCTTCTTTTCTGGCTACTGTACACAGATTGTCCAAATAATTTTGTATTTCTTGAGAAACCGCCTATTTACTTTAGTATCAGTACTTCACAGAAGGATGCCTGTTTGCAACTTCTGGATAATTGCCCTTTACTAAAGTATAATGTGAACAGTTCTGTACAAGATGCTCTTGTTTCATATCCTAGGGTGACAGTATACTAGTAACACTGAAATTGAGTTCCAAAGGTACTACTCAGGAATGGCTTCTGCAGTTGAGAAAAAGTGTTAGAGAAGTGAGGCCCTTGCAACTCCCCTATCAACCTTACTCAACAAGCAAGCTTACTCGTCACTGTCTCTAATGAAATCAATAAAACTGCAGAATGTGGCTAGAAGATGCCAGAATTCTACAGGAAGGCCATATGCAAAATGAAGAAAGAGTCCGATATCAAGGCAAATCTTAATCCCCAGTTCTGTCAGGTCTTGGAGAAATTTTGTAAAGGTAGTCAAGATTTTTATTACCAAAAAAGAAAAGAACAAGCAAACAAGAGTGACAATATTAGTGTATAAAAGCCTGACCTGAACTGAAGTTGATGAAAATCCTTCTCTTCGTTATTTCCTGGCCAGAATTTCATCTCTAAAGATTTTAATGAAGGAAATTAGTCCTTGTTTTTGTCATAGGAGAAAACGGATGGTCTAGCTTTATAGAGAAGACACAGATTAATTCCCTGCCAGGGTTAGTTTTTCACTGCCTTCCATCTGTGGTTCCATAGTTCACATCTGATAGAGGTACAGATTTCTGTGTCTCCTCTGTTGCCTACAGATACTGCTGAAACACGCAGCTGGCACTGTCAAGCGAGTTTCCATGGAGCTTGGAGGACATGCTCCTTTTATAGTGTTTGACAGCGCCAACGTGGACCGTGCTGTTGCAGGAGCCCTTGCTTCTAAGTATAGAAACTCAGGGCAGGTAAGAGTAACCTTTTTGTCCTTGTTTCTGGAAAGTGGAGAGCTATCGCTTAAGTTGTAAATAAGCTATTTTGTGTAAAAGGAAAGCGTAGAACACTTCATTGTGAAGAGAAAGATGCTGGAGTCACACATGGCTCTGGGCACTCAAGCCAGTTATCAGCAAGTCTGAGTAACACCACTGTAAAATCCCATGTACATTCACATGGCAGTCCATAGTATCACTAAGAAGGAAGATGTGCACTAGGACCCCTTGCAGGAACATGAGAAGTTATAAGACATTTTGTTATATGCTTTGTTAGCATTAAATTCATTGGAGAACTAGAACTGTGAGGAGACACTATCCCACCTCAGTTCTCAGGATTATGTTTTGTAACATATGCCTAGCCATTTCTTAAAATAATGGCTTCAAGTCCTATGATAGATGTTTCTATCTGTAAGATTGTGTCTGATTCAAGTCTCTTACTATGTTCTGAAAGCACCCAGCAGGAGTTAAGGGGATTGAAATCTGTTAAGACACACATGACTAGATATTTCCACAATGAATAGCTTAAAAGAAGTGATAGACAGGCTTCAAGCTTAGGTTGCTTCAAATGTATTTTACTTGGAGTGAAAAAAATTTGAAGAGCATCATTTTCCAGAACAGTCAGCTGAACAAGGCTGTGTGGAGACTGTTCCAGCCTTATGAGTATTACGTCTATATGTGAAAATGCAACTTTGGAGAAGCAGCAAGTTTTTGGTGGGATTGGGAGGTCATTGGTTAGGAAAATGTTACTTGAATAACACAAGAAGAAAGCATAAGACTAGTCTTGGGAAGAAAGAAAGGAAACAAAATAGATTGGAATGTAGACAAGGACCACTGAGTGATCAGACACAGATTGTCCAAGATGCAACATAAAAGGCACCTCTGCTGCTGCATAGAAAGATAAAGTAGCTGTTACTTTTGAGAACAGCAAGTCAAAATAGCATGCAGTCAGAGCAAATGGGTAGCACAAATAAGTAGGCCACTGAAAGCACTTGCAAACAAATTCCAGGAAGAAAGCAAACTCAAACTCAGTTAATGAAGGCATTAGAAAAAAAGACCCCACGCCCCCAAGTGTGATTTGAAGTTCTGCTGCTCAGTCCAGCATTCTGCAGTCTGTAATTAGAAAGTATTTCTTGCAGCTGCTGGACCTTGGTTGATCCATATATCAGAGTCCACAGAACTCACAAAACCTTTTCCCAATGTAAGTGACTTAAACTTAGTAGTATGGCATATTTCACACACATACTTGTTGAAGTTGTATTTCTAAGGTGAGTGGGGTGATGAAAGAAGTGGCAAAACTAGGTGACACCTTAGGATGATGGAGAAGAGGCAGAGGTCAGATCACTGTAGTAACCTGATAGTGTGTCATGAAGGCCAGAATCATTGATAAATACAATATAAACTACTGTTTGTTTTTCCTTTTCATGTTTATTTCCAGACCTGTGTTTGCACAAACCGCTTCCTGGTGCAAAAGGGAATCCATGACAAATTCGTGGAAAAGTTTGCTAAAGCTATAGAGAGAGAACTACATGTTGGAAGTGGATTTGATGCAAAAACCACCCAAGGGCCACTAATTAATGAAAAAGCAGTGGAGAAGGTATAAAAAAAAATTTCATTTTTGACACCTTAATTTCCTTTTTATGATCCATAAAGTAACTTCAGATTGATATTTCACTTTTTTCACACTTGTTTTGTTAGGGTGTATTTGCAGGGTGGCTGGAAGTGTGTTCCATCCAAGTCCATGTGTATATATATACATGAACAGATGTGGCCAGTTAATGTATTATTCCCCTACTTCTCTATTTTTAAGGGAAAAAGAGATTTCTCCTTTAGGAGAAACTGATTCTTCCAGATTACTTCCTAGCTATTCTCAAGAACATTTACTGAAATTGGATACACTGTGAGAGTTGTATAGTGCAATTCTGAAGCACTGTGAATGACAGCTTATTTTGAAGAACAGTGGCTCTGGCAAAAGCTAAGCAGAATAATACATTGAGGTTAAAAGTAGCAGAGCTCTGGATGTTGTAATCACTCGAAACCTTACATGCATGGTTTGGGTCTTCTGTGTTGGATGAGTCATGACTCCAAGAAGTTATATTTTCTAAATCACAGTAAGTCGCATTTGCTATAGTAATTCACCCTTCCTAAGGTTAAAGATTATTAAATTACGTGTTTTATACTTTCTAAGATACTATGGCTCAGTTATATGTAGGCTTGGTTTGAATCCATTTGCTGCCAGATTCCTTCTGTTTATAAGATAATAGAATATGAAAATATTCAGAGTTATTTGGGAGACAAAGGATACAGTCCTTTGATTTCTTTCCTTTGTGCCTTCCCTTTGCATCACAAAAGATCATATATATCTACACACACAAATAAGCAAGCACTGTGTATAGTCACTTCACTGCCTTTCTGTAATTTCAAAGGACAGTAGTCTAGGTGGAGACTGCTACTTTCCTGGTCTTTGGATGAATTGTAGCTGTAGGGGGTGGAAAATGATCTTGCCAGGACCATCTTGAAAGTTGTCTGCTTCTCTTTAAATTACACTTCTGTATTTCTCTTTTCATAGTGCTTGTTCATGGCTATCAGGTGTACTTCTTAGTCCTGCAAAGACTTTTTCCCGTGTTAGATGTAATCCTTTCATTTCAACAGAAAAGCTGAATCTTTAATATCCATGAGACTGGGACCATACTCATAATTTATCCCTCTGAAATTATCTGACTGAGATAAATAAAAATTCAAGAGAAACTTTAAATAATATTGCAAATGGTCTTCTGTAAAGTATAAACCTCTCTTCCAAATCTTCTGTTTAATACTGGAGGGTATTATTTCTTCAGTGGAAAATATGCTGTTCATTCCTAAATGCTAACTAACTTTGAGATTTTTGGTTTGCATGCCTCAGGTAGAAAGACACATTAATGATGCAGTTTCTCAAGGAGCATCTATCGTGACTGGAGGGAAACGACACAGCTTGGGGAAGAATTTCTTTGAGCCAACACTACTTAGTAACGTTACAACAAAAATGCTTTGCACCCAAGAGGAGACATTTGGCCCTTTAGCACCAGTTATCAAGTAAGATTATTCATTTTCCAGATTAAAAATAGTAATTAAAAAACATTTTGAATAAATATTTTGAATGACAGTTTGCCAAAAGATATTTTTGTACAGTCACGAGTCTTTTAATAAGACTGGGGTACACATGTGAAAACTTCCTTTGGATATGTGGTTCCTTTGTTTCTCTCTCTTGACATGATTTTAGCATCTCTGCAACTTTTTGAAAATGATTTTTCTTTTAAATTGCATCAGCAGTTAAGCAAGGGTAGGTAGCAGCAAAACCCTCATCAACTTCATGATTTGTGGTATGAAGTAGGAGGCAGGACTTCGCAGTTTGTCATGTGATTTGCTAGTCCTAAGTTTTTGTGACGAAGGATGACTTGGAGCTCTCTTTCTCTCCTTAAAACCTTCCCTGCCTCCATCCAGAATAATTGGATGCAATGGAAGAACATAATGGTTCTCTCTCATAGTTGAGAGTGCTTGTGTAACTGGGTAAATTGGTGGACAAACACATGTAAAGTAAATGTTTTAGCTATCATTGTCTAGGGAGGATAAAGGCAATCTTAACTACTTAACTGTGGTTTAAGAGAAGTGGTAGAAATTCCCCCATTGCTTCAAAATGAAAATTAAATTAGATGTTTACAATACACTTTTGGGGAAGAAACTGCATCTTGACTTTCTTTATTTCTGGTGAAGCTGCTTCTTGTCACTAAGTCAGCAAGATGGTAAATGAACTGCAGGCCTTACTTGTAATTTTTCTCTTTATATTGACAGATTTGAGACTGAAGCAGAAGCTATTGCTATAGCAAACACAGCTAATGTGGGTTTAGCAGGTATGCCTCTCTGTCAGATAAATGTATTTCTGTCATTTTTATTAGCTTTAGTGTTATGAGGTGATGATTTTTAATGCAACAGGAGACATCATGTCAGTAAGTCTCTTTTTCACAGTCTTCTGCAATTGTTCTTCCTGATTCAATTTTCATTCCTGTATCTCTGTGTCTGCATGGCAGGATATTTCTACTCCCAAGATCCAGCTCAGATATGGAGAGTTGCAGAACAGCTGGAAGTTGGAATGGTTGGTGTTAACGAAGGCATAGTCTCCTCGGTGGAGAGTCCTTTTGGTGGGGTAAAACAGTCTGGCTTAGGGCGAGAAGGTTCAAAATATGGCATTGATGAATACTTAGAAATAAAATACGTCTGCTTTGGAGGCTTATAAAAAAATCTTCAAAAAGCACAATCCCAACAGCTTGGAAAAGAGTGCTGTAGTTTTAATAAGCTTCTTGAACCATAAATAAGTCTGAATGCAACTTCTACCTTCTTTAAAACTAAGCAACCCTGGTTTATTTGTGTAGATATTTACAGTATTCTGTGCTGCCATGTGTTTTCACATGTTCTTTATTTATACATTGTTTTTCAGCAATATGTGGTCAGCGTCCATCATTTTTAGTAAGGAGTAGGGGAGAATGCACATTTATTATTCTCAGATTACCCCTGTATAACTGGGAGGACTTGAGAACTTGTGCATCATGAAAATAGATCATAACCTATGGCAAGTGGAAACTAGACCACCATTTTCTACTGCCTCTAATGTTTCAGTGTGGATGTGGGAGGCTTTGGGGACAGCAGTTTCCCTTTAGAGATTTGTGTAAATACATTTTCTAATGTGGTTATGTGACCTTTTAGAAGCAGGTGTGTCTTTTTTTTTTTTTTTTTTAATTGTGGGAGAATCTGATGCTTATGAAAGGTGAGGAATTGTCTTTAGCTACAGTTAGGCATCCACGCAGGCAAACAGACAGCATTTTCAGTGCATGTTAATGCTGGCTGCAGAGATGCCACCTATTCAGCTTTGGGCTTCTGAGCAAAGAGCTGTAATTTGTGCCTAACAGCTTGCACACCTGGGATCAAATACGGCCCTTGTTTGATGTTTGTGAGCCCCAGCAGTCCTGGGAGCAGGACAGTGCAGGACAAGGAGGTGCTGATTAGTGAGTAGCAAGAGGAAAATGGGATGCTTACTTGGAGGAATAACTTGCAGAACGGTAAGGGAACACTATAAGGGCTGTGTTAAGGAAGCACAAGTGGTGACATCATGATAGAAGTAAACTCCCTTCCATGCAAAGAAAATGACTGTCCTTGGGTAGAAGTACAGTCATTGATGTAGATGTTGCTCGGTGTCTAAAGAACATTACTCACTACTTCCAAAGAACGTAAGCAGACAGATGGTTCCATTCCTATGGGCTTTGTGCCTTGAATTGGATTGTGGTTACACAGGTGAATGTCCATTAGGAAGGAATGTTTCAAAACCTTGGAACTTTGCTAACTTGTGACCTAATAAAGATTTAAATGGAAGTGATTAGAGGTGAGACTTCTGCACATCACCTCACTATTTTAATTATCTTCCAAAGATGATGTAAAGCTTCCTTAACATGAAATACTATTTTAATGTCAGTCAAAAGAAGCACTTTAAAAAAATGTGCAATGTTAATTTGGCAAATAATCAGAACTGCAGAAGCTAAGGAGAATAAATTTTGTTTCCTGTGTTGGTTAACTTTATTTGTTGAGGTTTTATCCATTAATAATTAAAAATAAATAAAAGAAGGTAACAGAGCTCTTCTTCCTATACACTAATGAATGTACCCTGTGAAATGGGATATTTTAAGATATTTTATCCAATCAGGCAAAGAGGTACCAGGTAACACAAGACTGGGGGCGGGGGGGTGGGGAGAAGGCAAGCTGGAACTGAGTTTCACAGTGTTTTTTTAAAAGCGCACATAAGGTAGCATTGACTGCTACTTATTATTTCTAAGTATTTTTTATGGTTATATTTGTATATCACTTGAGACCAGGTGGGTCTGGAGCACATTATTTGTCAGTAGAGTGTGTGTGCATTGTGCCAACCTAAGGGTGGTTAAAGGACAATTACTGTCCTTCGGTGATTTCCCCAGTGCACCAAAACTGCACATTTAAGACAGTGAAGACTTGATACTGTTAACAGTTGCAGCATATGTGCTTGTTGTCAAGAACAAAAAAAAGGATGGCCTATTTCTACACTAGTCGCAAGAAATTTTCTTATAGCCAACTTCTAAATTACACTATTGAGTGCACAGGCTGCCTGAATTTGGGGAATAGAGTGTTGTGGAAGAGGCAGCTGTTTGCCAGCCTTGGCTATCAATAAGTGTTTACTTCTTACTGGAAAGAGTAACTAGGTAGAAGAAAGTCATAACTTGGTGCCTGGGTACCACAGTTCAGTGATGCAAGTATGCTTATGGATACTGCACACAGGTAGAATATCTGCCACTGAAATTGCACAGAGTTAAAATATGTCTGCCTGTCAACTGCAGTGTAAGATCAAAATTAAAGTTGTCTCATTTACTGCTGTATGACAGTGCAGTCTTGAATGTGGGTGTACTTCTTGGGACAGTGCAGTTGGAGGATAAATTCTTGAACCTGCTGCTCTATTCATTCCGAAGTTACTGATCTGATGCGTTGGTGCATTTAAAATCTTAATGTCTTTTCTGAGAATAGCACTGTTAAAATTAATGTTTACTTTTTTCTAGCAAATAATACCTTTTACTATGCCTGATAACAAGCACAAAGCATAATTAAAGATAAGGTATGTAATAAACTTTAAAAATACCTTTGTCTAGATTGGATTGTGATTGGATTCCAGCATAGTATCCTTGTGTCAATAAGGTCTACATCGGTTAAGCACAGAATAATCTTAAAGTTGTCTTCATACCAAAAGCTGTAATTCTTCAACAAAAGATATACTTGAATTCTCACACCTCAGTTGTGTTGATTGCATTTGTGATAGTTTAGTAATTTCTGGATATCAGAACTGATGGTAAGTGTTTTCAGTTAATAAATAACTCCTGTGAAAGCACTGCATTGTGTGGTTTATTACCTTATTCAATGCTGAACTGACAAACTGACAGCAGCCACATTAAGTTCAGTCTCTCAGATTTGCGCAGAATTTTTTGTTCTGCCAGCTTTAGCACTGGAAAAAGACACTTCTTTGCATCCACATGTTCATGAGGTGTAAGATTTTGGTTACCCCAATTACAGTCCCTTGAATCTAAATCAAATAGATGAGACTACTTTGGCATACTAATATGCCATCAGTCATTTTGTATGCAAGTCTTTTGTGTTTAAATGTTTGATTCAGCATAAAAGACAGGCTTTGTGAATCAGAGTGCCTTTCCCTGCTTTCAGGATGTCATTACTTGTATAACTTTCTACTTACTAAGATTTAAAATAAATTTTTGGAGGCTTTATTTCCATTTAGTTAATACAGTTTTTGAAGCCTCAGAAACTGTCTTCTAATTTCCAACCTGACATAGTCATGGCCAATTTCCATTTTACTTTCTTACGTTAGCCTTTAAACAGCTGCTGTTTGACACCCATCCTCCCTGCCTGTCCTCTCCATGTAATAAACTCTTAGACACTATGTTTACCTGTTTTACTAGACACTGACATTTTTAGCTTAAACAGGCAGAAATTCTCTCCAGCCATAGTGCAGAAGCTTTTTTTGGCAAGTCATTCTAGGTAATACTTGTCCATTGCTATGCTGAGCTGGCAAAGTGACAGTGGGTGCTCAGAACAAGTGAGGGAAGCTCTTGGTGCTTGTAACGCTGACCCAGCACTGGTGAAGACAGACATACTGAGAAGTATCTCAAGCCTGACCATATCTAGTACTTCATTTTGTTTATGCACTATCTGGTCACCAAGATCAAGGAAATGTTTAAGCAGGCTGGTGTTCTGCAGCCAATCCATTTCCCAGACACTAGTGTTTTTAGACACATTTTATGCTTTCATGTTTAATTGTGCTTTCATGATTAAGTCACAATGTTGAACAGCAGTTTAAAAGGTTTGCACAGAGTAAAGTCAATATTAATTTTGAACAGTAATCACGCATGTGTTGGGCTATCCTGTGAGTTTATTCACTTTATCAGTGAATGCTGAAGCTGCTTGGCACAACCGGCTTCAGTTATCTTCTGCGGCACAAGGCTAGAAGGGGAGGCGACTGCTGTTGACAAAGCCTACAGTAACAAACAGGCAATTCTTCAATAAAAGGCACTGTGTATGTATCTCATCAGCTCTTCTAGCAGCCAGTATTTCCTTGTAGGAGTCAAGTATGAACATAAGAGGCACCATGTAGACTGTAGCACCTTATAACCATGTAAAGTTGCTTTTATGGTGTATGTTTTTTTCCTTACAGAAGGACACTTTTATCTCATAGTACCTTTTATTATGATTTAGCACAAACTTCATACACACTGATGCATGGAATTTTCTTTCCCAGTTCAGAAATAGGCAGCATAACCTACCCCTCGCTAACAGCAGGGGGTTACACTGCAAACTAGCACCTCTGATTACTGCAAAGCAGTCACTGTCGTTACAAACAAACAAGTAGTAGATTCACTCTAGAATAAGCCACAAAACTTGTGAAGCCACCACACTTGGCATGACAGCTGTTGAATTATTTACACACAGCCAATTAAACCAAGTAAGGACAAGCAGCACGTGAAAACCCTTACTGTTAACTGCAGTAATTTTTTTTTCTGCTCTCTGATGTTCTGAATTATGTTACCTGTCTGAAAAAAACCACTGTTTTGCTTTTGTCAGTAGGAAGGGATCAGATACTGCAACTGCTTTTATGTTTGAGGACAGACATAAGCTTCGGCATACAACATATCACTATTTGCCTGACTTGAGTGTTGAGTGCAATACAGAATACCATGTCTAAAGGAATACCTGACAAGTTCCTAGAAGGAAAGACAAAACTTTATTAGTAGTTACATAAACGTAGTAATTTCAGCTCAGAAAGGGTTCCAGTTACAATACATTACCATTTGCAATAAATAACATTTTCTAGAAACAGATTCCTAATATAAATTCTGTAATAGCTCACCCATCCACCCACAGGGAGAAGTACTTCCATACAGAGCCAAACTACTGATGTGCGGCTCATCTGCACTTGATTTGTAGCCTGTGCAAAAGAAAAAAATTATTTGCCTTTTCTCCCTCCTTTTTTAAATTTTATTTCTATGCTTTAAGGTTCCCTCCCTTGCCTTGGGGAGTTCAGGACCTAAAAGGTATATGAAATGGGTTCTCCTTTGCTGCAGAAGTATGGGATTAGTAGTCTAGTTAGGGATCAATGACAAGCAATAGCTCATGTTAAGAAACTTTAATTCACTTCTATCCCATTTCCCTTCTTCTAGAGGAATGTTTACCTCTCTCAAACTTCACATAAATGGCTCAGAAGACTAAACTAGCTGTCATTTTAT